AAATCATAAATAAATTGAAAAGTGGAGATTTTACAAGTCTAGAAAAAGTAAAATATAAAATGGCCAAAATTAACTGGAGAACTAGTGGAAAACTTGCAAAGACCAGTTACCACTGATGAGAAAAAAAGTCTGCCACTGAACAAGCACCCAGCCTGGAGGGTTTCATGGAGGAGGCTGAATTGTAGAAACCTTTAGGATTCACCTCTGACATCACCTTCCTTCCAGGAGGCCACCCTGGGTTTCCCTCTCTCTGGTGAGATCCTGGGAGAGGGGATCCTCCCAGGTGCCCCCCACAGCACCTTGCGGACGCATTCGCCACATTAGATCATAACCATTGGTTCGCTTGCCAATCTCCCCTCCTGGACAGTAAGCTGCCTGAGGGCAGGGACCACGCCTTATGTTTCATTGCCTCCCAGTGCCCAGCACAGCACCTGCTGTTTACTGAATCAGTGAACACACTAAAAGAAAAATCACAGCCTAACTGTCAGCACACCGTGATGCCCCTATGTCTGTAAAATCCCCCAACACACGGCAAAGCAGAATGGAAGGAAAGAAACCAAAATGCTAACAGTCATCAGTTTGAAACTCCCCTCATTAGCCAAATATTTGTAACGGGATTAAAGTATTTTCATAGGGAGGAACAGTAATTTACAAACTCAGACAAGGCAAGGAGTATTCTGGTTGTGTAGATGAGGAAAGAAGAGGGCTGGGAGGATCTGCAGGCAGGCCTCTTCTGGCACCTCGGATTCCTCTCTGGGCCCAAGTCCCCAGGCCTAGACAGGGAGCCCTGCCCCACCTACTGCATGCCTCCTGGTGGACCTCCAGCCAGGGAAGGAGAGGATGCAGGGCGGCACCCATAGGAGCCCAGAGCCTGGCCTAGACAGAAGGGTCCTGCAGGCCTCACTTTCCCTAGGTAGCAGCTCTGGAAATCCCCTCTCCACCACATCCTTCCTCAATCTGGAAACAGAGTCTCCCGAATTTTAGGGAGAACCCCTATACCCCTGGGAGGCAGCCCTGGTAGCCTTGTTTCCCTTGACACCAACCAACATGAACTGTCCCCCTCCTCCCAACACTCAGGCGTGGAACCCTGCCCACGTCTGATCATCAGCTACCCCCGGTCATGATGATGGACTTTCCTGTGCCCAGGACCTGGCACTGACCAGCCATCAGGAGCTGGCATTCAGTACCCACTGCTGTCCCCTCCCACCACTGGACACAGACAGCTCCAGGAAGGGCAGAGAAGATAGATCTAGAGTGAGGCCAGCTGCTGGGGCTCAGGAAGGAAGTGGGGAGGCAGGGGGGCTTGTCTCAGGAGGCCGGGGGGAGGGGGGGCTGAAGGGAACCAGAGGCTGAGAGGTGAAATGAGGCCCAGGCTCGGGGGAGATTGCCCAGGGGACGAAGGGGTCACCACCAGCCACCAGCCTGCAGCGTGAGAGGCTGCTCCTTTCTGCCTTGGGAGTGGTGGATGAGGAGGGCTCTAGGTGGCTGGGAATGTAGGGTGAGGATGAGGAATGCGGGGTGAGCCAGGTCACAGGCTGGGCAGTGGGGCTCCACGGTCAGCCCAGGGCTGCAGGTGAGTCATGGGGAGAGAACAGTCAGGCCAGGTGTGAAGAAGCCAGCTGGGCCACCCCAGGGCGGCTGCCCTCACTGGAAGGTGGGGGGAGTTGTTGGGAGGAGGGAGTACGGACGAAGGGACTCACTGGATCCCCTACCTGGCCTCAGCTCCCCAGCTCTTACCAGGCTCGCTTTCCAGAAGGCCCCCTGGCTGGCCCCAAAGGGGGATCCAGGCAGGTCTGTCCAAGGCCAGCTCCTTTATCTCAGTCACAGCCACCTGGGGCTGCCCGTGGAGTCTGTCCCAGAGAGTGGGTGCCAGGCCTGGGATCCAGAGAGGAGAGTGAGGCACCTCGAAGCAGCTTTTAGCACTTAGCTTGGGTGCAGGGAGAGGCCTGGTGGGGAGTGGGGAGTGGGGAGGGAGGAGAGAGTGGGAAAACTGCCGTGGAGCGCCCCCTCTCCCCAGGGTCCCAGCTCCACTCAAGGGTGAAGGGTCACTCACAGTTGGGGCGGAGGAAGGAGGAATGGGGGCCCTAGGGCTCCGTCCAGTCCCGGTGCCTGCTCAGGTGAAGTGCCTCCTGGGCTGTTTGCATAAGACGCTGCAGAGGCCGGGCTGTAACTCTTTCCTCCCTGTGGCCAATGCCCCGGCAGCAGGGGCGGGCTCCAGTCCCCATGACTGGCCTGGGCTTCCCACCTGTGAGGCCGTGGGGCAGGATGGTGACCGCACCCTGAAATCCCTGGGTCAGGACGCAGCCACTGGGGAGGAGTCTCAGAGGCTCCCCTGGGCTCCCGGGGCCTCCTCAGTGGAGGGGGAGGGGCAGTGGAGGGCACTGGCTCGCCCCACCATCTCTCCCTCCTCTGGGCCTGGGCTTCTGCCCTCTCCTGGGACTTGGCAGCTGCAGGTAGCAAGGGGAGGGTTTGGAATACCTACAGGGAACGCAGGAAAGTGAACACTTGTTTGCCTCTGGCTTGTCTGTCCTTGCTGAGGGGCACAGGGTGGCCAAGGCTGAAGGCCACCCAGGTGAGACTTCTGAGCCTGGTGGCCATGGTGGGGTTTGTGGTCAGGAGGTGTGGAACTGACTTGGATGAAGCCACCTCCTGGCTGTGTGACCTTTGGCTAGTCACTGAAGCTCTCTGAACCTCTGTTTGTACTCCGGGCAAATGGGGGTACCCATGCCTGACTTCCAAGCTGCTGGACCATTAGTCCCTTGAGGATGGGGACCATGTTGTATCTTACCATGCTTTGTGTCTCCAGTGTCCAGCACGGTGACCAGCACACACCAGGTGCTCATTATGTGCTAGTTAAGTGGCTGGTGAATGACAAGGCTGTAAAGTGCCTCGTCACTTGATAGTAAAAATGTGTAGAGGCTCCTCTCTTCTGGGGGGGGGAGGGGGTTCCTGCTTCCGCCGATTGTCCTGCCCTCCACACCACCCTGCTGCCTCTTCCCTTGTCCAGTGGTCCATCAACTGGACATTGTCTCCACCCTCCCCGACGACCCCATGTCACCTTTATCCTCACATCCTTGTCCCTCAGAGGAAGCAGGACCCTCGCCCTCTGCTCTGGGCCCCTCCCTCACTCCTTTCTCCCAGGGATCCCCTCTCATCAACCACCTCCTTTCCACCCTCAGCCTCCCCTCTCCCAGCTCCTGCCCAGTCACTTAGATCCGGGGCATTTACCCTGCAGCCTCCACTGGCCTCCACACAGCATCTCTCCCTTCCCTGCCAAGCTTCTGAGAGTTGTCTACACTCTCAATCCACGGCCTCATCTTCATCCCTCTGACCCTTTGCCCTCTGCCTTCAGCAACCCCCCGACCAGCTTCTGATAAGGTGGTCACTGACCTTCTGGTGGCACTTCCCGATAAATGTCGGATGGCCTTTGTCTCACTTCCCCTTTCCTCCGTATACTTCTCCTTGGCTCCTGGGCCAGTGCTCTCCCACTTTTCCTCCTTGTGCCCTGCCTGTTCCTTCCTCTCTGGCTCCTCTTTCCTCCCTTTGTCTGTCACCCAAATGCGCTGGCCCCCAGGCCGTCTCAGGTGCTCCTGTTCCCATGTCCACACTGTCTCCACACCCACGGCTCCAACGTCACACACTGAAGGCTCCTCCTGGGTGGCAGACCCGGCTGGGCCACAGCGGGCTGGGCCTCTCTCCTCCGCCACCTTCTCCACAGTCGTCCCTCCCCCTACAACAGTAAACAGCACCACTGTCCGCCCAGGTGTGCTAACCAGGAGCCTGGAGCTCCTCCTAAGTTCCCTCCCACCCCCCTCAGCCCATCAGCCACCAGGTCTCCACGAGTCTACCTCCCAAATCTCCCATCATCACTGTGTGCCTGGGAGACCACAAAGGTCCTCGGCCATTCTCGAAGCCTCAGCCACAGGGGTCTTTTCTCAACCCCACTCCCTTCTCTGCCTAGAGCCTTCCAACAGGTGCAGGATAAAGCCCATGGGCGAGAGCCCACAAGGCCCTGCCCCACCTGGCACCACCCACTCCCACCCCGAGCCCCCATTCCTGAGCCCCAGCTGCATGGGGTGGGGGTGGCACTGCAAGACCCCAAAGGTGCCACATTTCTCACGTCTCTACCTCTGCCCATGCACCACAGCACCCTGAGTGCAGCTCCATCACAGATGGCCCGTGCCATGCTGGACTGAGGCATGTGTCCCCTCCTGCCAGCTTCCCGTCCCAGACAGTGAGCCCCCCAGGGCCGGGGCTGTGCCTTAGTCACCTTTAGATCCGGAGGCTCACCTGGTGCTTGGCAGGTGTTAAGTCAATTCATGGTTAGTATTTTCTCTAAGGAGAAAACAGGCAGGCTCACCTTTCAGGAAATTCCTTCTCTAAAGGCTGCCTTGAACAACTAAGAGCAGAGTGGGGTTTCCTTCCCAGGAGAGAACCGACTCCCCACCCCTGGAGTTTGTCTGGGATGGGGTGTCAGGGAGTCCCACAGCTGACACTTGAATAAAGCATGGTCATGGGGAGTGTGGTATACCCATCACACCAGGGAGGAAACAGGACCAGAGATGCTAAGCCACTTGTTGAGGTCATACAGTGAATTAGGGGCAGAAGTGGGACCAAGCAGAGCCTCTCGGCCAATACCCAGGCCTCTGGCCAATGTTCCAGGTCCTCCCTGTGCAAGCACCACCCCACCATCACCTGTGTCTCCACCCCCAACACACCACTGCTACTGCTGGGAGCAGGGGGAGGAGGGGCAAAGATACCACCCCGCAGTGACCTTGGCTGCTGGGGTGATTTCTCTTCTCAGGAGGTACCAGGATCGGGAGCTTCTCTCCTTCCTTTTTCCGCCTTGGCCCTGGCTCTGGGGCGGAGTCCCTTGGGGAGACCTGCAGAGCCGCGGCTCATGAGGAAGCGGGCTGCGGCTCCCTGTCCCTCCTCAACACACACTTTGCACACGCTCTGGGCCAGGCCCTGTGCTGGGCGCGGGGGATCAGAGGGCAAGGCTAGTTCCCCGCCTCGAGGAGCGAGGAGCACAGGGCACAGACAGGCACTCCCACCATCACCAGGACAGAGAACGTGGAGAGGCCTGGGAGTGCGCCGCCGGCAGCCTGCCCAGGAAAAGGAGGGGCGCCGGGGGGAGGAGCGCTGGCATCCAGCCATCTATTCCGGAGACACTGTCCGACCGGCTGGCAGGGGCGCCGAGCACAAGGATTTACCCCGCTCCGCCAGGTCCGGGTCCCCGTCCCCACCAGCCGGATGCTGTTCTCCGCCCTGGCCACAAGGGGGCGGCTGCCCCTGCTGAAAGCGGAGCGAAGGCGGCGCAGACCCGGAGGAAAGGACACCGAGTGGGACTCCAGCCAGTCTTGGCGGACCGCCTACTACGAGCCAGGCGCTTTCACGCCTCATCTCGTTGAAGGCTCACAGCAACCCTAATCCTTAGGCATTGTCCCGCGTTTACACACGAGGACATCGGGGCTAGGGGAATTAAGTGGCTCGTCACCTGAACACTCTGCACTATAACGAGACGGGGCGGAGGGAGGACCCAGGAGCTCGCGGACGTAACGGTGCCTCCTTCCTCTGGGCATCCCAGACTCAGTCCTAGCACTGGGCAGGCATCAATGTTTATTGTATTTTACATTAAGTACAAAGAAAGAAACCAGAGATCACAGGCTTCAGGGGCCACCCACCCAGTGTCCCCTTTGGGCTACACGACAAACTGAGACCCCGAAGAGGAAGTGAATTTCCCACAATTACACAGCTGGTGGCAGATATCGGAAGGGGTCTGTGCACCCCGCCCCCCTCCGCCTGCCTCTCCCTGAAAAGTTCCTGAAGTTGAAGATGTCAGGGCCGCCCGACGGATTCTGAGGATGTAAGAGCGTTTTTAAAACGTGCTCTATTTTCGATTTCCCAAATTTGCGTAACTGGGTTCTGAAGCGAAAGGAACACCCTCACTATAACTGGACTTCTTTCTGAAACAAACCGATCACAAGTTAAAAAAGAAAAAAAAAAGGAACTGAAATGTTGGAAGCAGCCAAAAGGGAAGCAGACCCCTGACTTTCACATCCATTCTCTCCTCTGAGCCCCCAAAGCCCTGTGAGAAAGGAAGGCAGGCAGAGCCGGCTGCAGGTCCACAACCCTCTATTTCACACCAGGTGCGTTTCGGAACGGTTCGGATTTTAGAACGGCGCACACACCTGCCACAGGAGACATAACGCTCCCAGCAGCCTCGGGGTAGCACCCTCCAATCAGGTTTACCTGCACTTTTGCAGCAAAACATGAATAGTCACATTAAATGGAATAAATAAAGACCGCTCACGGCCGTCACACGGCTCAAGACAAATTTTGCCACCAATTGAGTTACGAAGAACTTTGGGCTCCAGGGAACGCTGCATTTCGGAACTGCAGATGAGAAACTGTGAGCCTGTATCACCTCCGTGTCGTGGTTGAAGAAAGTGAGGCTCGGTGTGAGGGAGCGGCGGACACTGCTGCTCGGCGTCAAGCCGCACTCTAAGCCGAGGGGGCCTCCTCGCGCCCCGGCTCGGAGCGCGCGCAGCCCCACGCCGGTCTCCCCGTTCCCCGCGGCGTACCTGCTCCGGACGCTCCTCCCGCGGCGGGCCGCGCACGTCCTGGATGGCCTCGTAGACGTTCTCGGAGTCGCTGCGCGCGAGGGGCCGCGGGCACACCCAGGAGCCCGCCACGCTGCAGGCCTTGAAGCTGCCCGCGCTCCCG